GGCAGCGGCACGCCAGTTCCAGCCCGGAGCTCTGAGCGACCGAAGAGCGCGTTCTCCTGGATCCCAGCAAGCCCTGGCTCCCCTTCGGCGTTAGTCTCCTCTACGCGCTATGAGAGATGTAGAACGCATGTATCGCTTCGCGTTGTTCCATGTGACTGTTTCTCCATTTACAAATATTTTTTTGACTTGCAGGGTGACTTTGTAGATAGAGGTTATTATAGTCTTGAGACTTTCACTTACCTTCTTGCACTAAAGGCTAAGTGGCCCGATCGTATCACACTGTTACGAGGCAATCATGAAAGCAGGCAGATAACACAAGTGTATGGATTTTATGGTAAGTCTTTATCCAAACAATTTGTGAGCGGGGGGCTAACGCGTAATAAAGGCGTACGGTGTCTTTCCCTCGGGAAATCTGCTTTGCATGCAGCGCTGCCCGCGCCTTGCCTGGGCCTGGGTGGGAAGGGGCTCAGCAGAACCCAAACGTTACCGTTCGTTAACGTGATCGTTGTGTGCGTGAAGTAGAACGTGGTTTAGTCCAGATCTCGCCGTTCTTTTCCTCCAGTGCCTGGGTTTTCTGTGTGGTTTTTGGTGCCATGTTCAATGTTAGAGACACAGGAAGAGCACATACTTACAGAGAACGTGCTTCGGCGTCTGGTAATGAAAGGTTCTGCAGGAAGCCGCCATGTTACTGTGATTCCCCCTAAGTTTCAGTGTAACTAAAAATCAGTGTCGCACGTAGGGGTTTGCTGTGGAAGCCAGTTATTGTCAACGGTGAGCACCTGGGAAACGCCACGGGCAGGGAATGAACAACAGAACAACTGTTTGAAAAACTGAGGGAGTGAATTGTGTGGAAACTTCTTTGCTGTTGCGTGAGGCTTTGATAAAACCTGAGGAAATCCTGGAAAATACCTAACCCCTGCCACAAAGAGTGAGGCCCGTAACGTGCTTGCTCTCGGATAACGTGTCAACAAGAGCAAGTGCTGATGTTCCCAGCTCGCTTCGGAAATGCCCCCAGGTTTATCACCACCTTCCTGTAGCTTTATACAAAGTGACTCCCCTTTGTGGTCGGAGTATCTCCCACCAGCCCTGCTCGGTTTGCGCTTTCTGCCTCAATTCTGTATAAAACTTGCTAATTTAAGCGCCCGGCGGGTCTAGTCAAGGGTCAGTTCCCATCGGTGGGAAGCAGCCAAAGCATCGTCAGCCGCGCTGCGTGAGACCCTGTTTTCTCTGCGCCGCCCGGTGCGCTGCTCAGTGAGCGATGACCGAGAGGCAGCCGGCGCCTTCCCGCGGGCGGCGGGACCGAGCGCTTCCCACCCACCTCTTGCGGTGCTCCCGATAGGGGTTTTATCGTACTCCTGACTTGTGAGTTCTGCTGTGTCTGCTTCTGATCTTATTGCCTGGATTCCTTCCGATCCGCTAAGAAGAAAAAAATTCTCTATTTAACAGATGAGTGCCAAACTAAATACGGAAATGCGAACGCTTGGAGATACTGTACCAAAGTCTTCGACATGCTCACGATAGCAGCTGTAAGTGTGAACGCCTCCTGACAAAAATACCAGTAGATTGTCTAACTGTGGCCGCTAGAACTAGCGACCTTTAAGGGCCGCGCCGGTAGCGTTGCGGGCTGGATTCAAATACCGAGTATTTCGCACGCGTCTCTCTCTCTCTCCAGTTAATAGATGAGCAGATTCTCTGTGTGCATGGTGGCCTCTCTCCCGACATCAAGACACTCGATCAGATTCGAACCATTGAACGTAATCAGGAGATTCCTCACAAAGGCGCCTTCTGTGACCTCGTTTGGTCTGATCCAGAAGACGTCGACACGTGGGCGATCAGCCCGCGAGGCGCAGGCTGGCTCTTCGGCGCGAAGGTGACGAATGAGGTAATGCTGCCGTTGCACCCAACATAAAAGCAATCGCAGGTATGAGACGCGGCGAGTTTGATACTTGCCCTGCGATGATCCGAAGCAGGGCACTGCGAGGCGACGAGCTCGGTTTGCTCAAGCCGACTTGGAAAAATGAGCTGTTTGAAAGGAAAAGCAGGAGTGCAGCCGCCAGAGGCGATGACAGCGGCGTTGCTTTTAAGAAATGCGATGCAGTGAGACTGACAAGTATCCCTGGGGTCTGTTAGAACACTTTGCTAAGGAGAAAAAAAATAGCGTACCATTTTTCTTGGCGTTTCTTGACTTAAATCTTGCTGCTTTGGAAGGCAGCGAGCAGGCTTCGCGGGGCTGGCACACGCTGACCTTCCCAGGCTCCCACACCAGCCGCGCTGGGAGCGCCGCGCTCGTGCCGTGCGTCGTGCCCGTGGCCTTTCCGCAGCACCGCCAGGAAGGACGGAGCCCTGCAGACGGCAGCCACCGGCATCGCCGCTGTCGCCTGTGTTTCACAGGCGCTTTTTAGGTCTCCGAACCCAAATAGTTTTTTCGAGAGCGCTGCGTGGAAGAGCCTCTCCGTGACGCCATCGCGGCGCGGCTGTGCCAGGGCTGGCACTGGGGGAGGGGGGCTGTCGCCCGGGCAGCGGTGCAGGGGAGACTGACCTTCCTTTTTTTTCCTTCGCAGTTTGTTCACATCAACAACTTAAAGCTGATCTGCAGAGCGCACCAGCTAGTTCACGAGGGCTATAAGTTCATGTTTGATGAGAAATTGGTGACGGTATGGTCTGCTCCAAATTACTGCTACCGCTGTGGAAATATCGCGTCAATCATGGTCTTTAAAGATGTAAATACAAGAGAACCAAAGTTATTCCGCGCAGTTCCAGACTCAGAACGTGTAATTCCTCCTAGGACAACCACACCGTATTTCCTCTGAGGCCCCTCCCCGCCTGCTGCCTCCCTCTTCCCTTGCCCTGTCCCTTTACAATATACTTTTTACTGAGCACTTTGCTGCTGAAATGCTGCCTCTTGCCTTTTTTATTGTTAAGTTATCTAAATTTATTGTGTATTACTGTGTCTGTAGCAAGTCGGGTTTTATTTTTCCCCTGCCCTAGATTAATTTGAGTATTTGTAATATGTCCTTGAAATTTATACTACTGCATGTAGTTCCTACCCGCTTCTGGGGTCAGAGGAAACGTTTTCCTTCTCAGACCCGCGCGATTCCCGGGGAGCGGCTCCGTCCCCGTGCGTTCTTCAGCTTTTTCTTTGGTAAGTTTTAAGAAATTTCAGCAGCAAAGTTACCCCCCGTGAGCAGGACGGGACCGTGAACGCCTCGTGCTGGGTTCGGGCCCCCTCGCGCCGTGTTTTGGGTGGGTGACGATGAAGCGGTCGCGGGGCTGTTGGTGTTGTCCCCCCCCGTCCCCCCCC